AAAGCATGTCATAGGCTTTTTTTACATGCCGAGCTCATAAGCCTTCAAGGTGGCCTGCATCATATTATTTATTTTAAATTAAATTAAATAATATCGCAGTAGTACCAAATAGTGATAGTTTAGTTGATGCATGTGAGCTGAGTAGGTGGTGGAATGACCTAGGTTCAATCCCCACCAATACTACATTTGGGAATGACATAAGATCTGTACCAATTTTTACAGTACCAGCAGAATTAACATTTACTGCTGGAGAAGATTTATTGATGCCTATTATTCTATCTTGGCTGAAGATATTATCCAAGCTTTAATATATGGTGGAGATTGATTACGTAATAAGTATGGTTTAAAGAAAAAATAAAAGGTATAAAAAGGTTTTTAGTTTTTAGTTTTATTTTTTTATTTCTATTCTTTAATCTTATTTTTTGTTTTCTACATTTACAAATTGTTTGCCAACTTATGTAACTTTGGAATTGTATTTGTAGGGGAGAGAAGATGACAAGAAGCTTTTGGTTACTATAAGCATCATGATGCATTTGTTGGATTCATACAGTTATTTTAATTTACATATTATGGATTGATTTGTTGGATTTGATGAAATATATGTTATTTAGTTTAGGCATCTTGCTTCTGAAAGTGATTTAAATACAGATTGTAATAAATTATTGTTGTGATTCATGATTTTGTTTGAACGTTAAAATTGTGATTTTTGTGTAGGAAGGACATTGTAATTGGATCTTATCTATGCTTAACCTTAAATTTTAGCTTAATAATATTTTGGTGGCATAATTTTCATTTATATTCTGCATACCATATTTTAGTGAGTTTAATTAATACAATACTCTAAAATTAGATAAGAATTTATCTAAATTAAGTAAGAAAATGTCTAGTACACTTCACTTATCCCCTCTTATCTATTACATTTATATAGGTGATAGAATTTGAACATGAATGTGTAAAATAATTAATTAGACTAGATATAATTTAACATAATGTGCAAGTATGTGTAAATAATAATATTATTTATTAAGTAATACCAAAGTGAAGATATCCATTCATATATTTTTATACACACAAGGATATATATATATATATATATATATCATTTAATAAAACTGATATCACTCTATTCTACGCAGTTAGACGCTAATTTTATCGCATGCCCTAAATATAAGGTTTTGTATTTTTTTTTTTTTAAGAATATGCATGTAGTATTTTTCTACAACAATCAACAATGGTATCTTAATTTTTTAATTTTTTATTTTATATTATAACGTACTGTGGAATGTGAATATTACCCTAGTCCCTAAAGCGTTTAGTTAGGTAGCTGGTACAATTTTAATCATCACATGCCATATTTTTATTGAACATATGTAACATGTCCAATTCCATACAGGTAAGATTCTTTCATCACCTATATCAAATCACGACCAGAAAAGAGGGAAAACCACCATCAGTCCCACGGATTGTTATATTTATGAACGTGTTATGATTTATGTGACCCAATGCACTGTCTTATTATTGAGCTGATTGTGATGACCAAACCGTCAATTTCGGGAAAAATTTCTTGGGGTTTCCAGCAAGATCACAACGAGGCAACCTGTTGACCGGAAAATTTGGGTTTGACCATACGTGTTACAGGAACTTGAATAGGTAGCATAAACAGCTGGAATCCGTACTTTGTCAACAAGGTAAATTTGATGATTAGATTCCATTATTCCTCATGTTTCCCTCACACCCAAAAGCTCCCCAAGTTAAAAATTAAACAAAGGTTTGTTGCCACCTGTTTTTTCTCTGCTACAATAACAATAATGATATTACATTATTATTTAATGAATACTCTTTGTTAAAGTACAACATATATGGACAGGAGAAGAAAATTTTTAATGCTCCGGAATTATTGAATTTGGTGCTTTTTTTGTATTATTAAAAAACGAATTTTTTAAAAATTAAAAAGAAATATAAAAAACATAAATTTTTAATAAAAAAACAACGAGTTGGATAATCCCAATAGATTAAAATTTTTCACTGCACCCTATTTTCACTGTCATCTGAATAAGGTCCTTACATTTGTCCCTGCAGTCACCAACCCGAATCAGATTATCATTGGCTTGGCTCGCAAGTTGAATAGTTTTGAAGGCAGATTTAATGAGGTAGATACTTAAGAACCGTATTAACAGTGAGTGATAAGTGCGTATAATTGAGGGTTTATAAAAAAAATGCGTATAATTGAGTGATAAGTGCGCATTCAAAAAAAAAAAAAATTAATTCAATTTTTATCAAATATATTTTTAAAAAATGATAAAGAGTTTTAACTATGATCAAATTCTAACTGGAGATTAGTTCTATAACTAACTTAAAAAAATTAAAACTGATAGAGAGTCTAGAGATATTAGGAGTCGATTTGTCTCAAAAAATTAATTAGCTTCTGTATATAAAAAATAAATAAATAAAATAAGTTCGCTGGCAGTGAGTAAAATGAGCGTGCAACAGCATAGAGGGGGACTTTTGTTACTTAGAACAGTTGGCAAATGTGTCAGTAAAAGGAAAAACAAAGAAATAAAATATGAAAGGAGTGTGTTTATTAATGACAATACAGAAGAAGAACCTTCCTAAAAAGAAAATCTCGAAATCCAATCTGCACTTTAAAAAAGAAAGAAAAAGTAAATAAGCAACTTAGTTTTGAATGAAGAATAATTTTAAGGATTAGGGTTAAGGACTGTGTGTTTGTGTATTTAAGAAGAAAGTATTTTTTTAATATTAAAAATACCTCTAAAAGCCTTAATTATAATTATATAAGTTGTTTTTGAAAAAGTAAAAATGCAAAAAAACATTTTAATATTTTTTTACACAACATAAAAATAGTAATCTTAAAATAAATAAATAAGAAAGAGATTATATTTACGAACTATTTTTTTCTTATAACTTCTTACCATCATTTTTTTATAATTATTCGATCAAAATAAAATTTATGGCTTTAATTTAATATTATCTTATAATCATTGATTCAATTTTAATCCAACAACCATAAAAATAATTGTAAAAGATGGTAAAGAAAAAAGATGTTCTAAGTTAAACCTCAATATTCTACAAAAATATATTTTAAAACTGAAAAAAATGTTTTAGAAATAGCCCATAAAAGTGTTTATAATTTTAGATGATAAATTTTGTGTTATTTTTAATAAAATTACATCGTTTTAGTATGTTTTGTCATTTTTTTCTTTTTTATAAAATTAGGAAGTAGAAAAAAGTGGAGGAGAGAGAATATAAAAATACACCAAAACAATGTAGTTTCATTAAAAATGATATAACTTTATATCATTTAAAATTGAGAAAAAGTATCTAATATTACTTTAGATAACTTTGTCTAATGTTCATTGAAACGACGTCATTTTGAGGTTGAAAAGTAAAAAAATTAGAATGATAAAGACTATTATAACTCTGAAAGAAATTAAAATTACAAAAACACCATGATTTTTGCTCCAAAACAACGTCGTTTTGGCGAACATTAGATAAAGTTATCTAAAGTAACTTTAGAAAAAAGCAAACCCTTTAAAATTACAAACAATTTTTCTATAAAAACATACGTTTCTTTAAAAAATTTTTACAGAATTTTAAAAAACATAATTACTCTCATAATGAATTGGTTATTAAACATGTATAAAATAAAATTGGTTATTAAACAAAAAAAGGCGTAATTAAAATTTTGGTAATAGAAGAAGGGGGATTAAATTGAACTCAAACTCAAAATTACAAGCAGCAGAGTCCGTAGAAGAAAAAAGAGATTAGAAATTTTACCAAAAAAAGAGATTAGAAATTAGATACTGGTTTTGGAATAATTTTCCTTCAAGAACAGTTGGCAGTAGTTAGTCTGTCTTTTAAAATTATACATGTCACTGGGGCCTAGCCCCTCCATTCGTACTAAAATATAAATAAAAAATTATACATGTCACTTCTCAGTCTCTCTGTGCTTTTCTCTTTCTAGCTCAGTAGCTCCTTCTGTTGTCTGTAATCTATCAAAGTTAGATTTTTGTGCAGCCTTCGATGTTTATGTCACTACCAAGTTGGTGAAATTGGTTTTTCATGCCGAATTTAATCTAGCATTTGATGCTCCTGGTGATATAGTCAGACATCTAGAAAAGGGTACTGTGCTCAATCCTGCCCCTTTTCACAACTCATTGAAGGATTTGTGTAGAATTTGATGCTTTTGGTCGTTTTTTGTTCTTGGATTCCTATCCCAGAATTTACAGCTAGAGTCCCTGCAACTTCTTCTGTCTTGTATTTTAAATCAAAACTAACTAGAACACTTAATTGTTTATTCACTGGCTTTGTTACTTCAAAGCTTCCAAGCAACTCACTCATTCGGGTCTTGGCCAAAAAGACCGGAGGTAACAATCTTGCTTATATCAATCCCATTGTTGTTTGATCGAATGAAGGAATAAAGTTCTAGTTAATTTGTATACAAAGAAGAAAAGGGAATCTGCTTTTTTTCCCAGTTCCGTAAGCTATTAACTAATCACATTGCTTGTCTAAGTCCACTTTATGCTCTGAAAGGTTCACTTTCCTGTCTGAGGGGTAGCATTTTGCCTTTTTCCTTAGCATTTTAGTAAATGGACTAGATCCTACTATTTTTGAAGGAAGAAGTAACTAGCTGGTGACTCACGAGTAGATTATATTCCTTTTGCTTTGTGTCAATGCTACATTGAGGGTTTTCTTTTACTTTAACCTTCTCTCAGTCCTATAAAGCTGCCAAGGCTATTTGTTCCTTGTTGAGTCCTGCAAGATATCTCTCGAGCCAACTTAGTCAAAGTTCACTTTCCCTTTAATCATGTAGTTGTTTATTTCAACTGTAGTATATCTAGATATAGCACCACTCTGCTTAAACTGTTAAGCCAGGATTACCCTAATTGATATATATATATATATATATATATATATATATATATATATATATATATATACTTTCTTAGCTCTAGGTGTTTAGGCACTATTGAATTCAGGAGATGGGTGGTCTTGAAAATGCCATGGGGCTTCAACATGAAAACGAGGGCATTCTGAATTGTCCATCATCGGGTTTGAGGACAAATGTTACTGAAATGACAATTAGTTCTGTGTCTATGGCTATGCCTTCAGGCGTAGCTAATCCTTTTCTTGCTTCTTCTGCTTGGGATCCACTTGTTTCGTTGAGTCAGATTCAAACTTTTGAAGGCTCTCCAATGGTTTCTCATGGCAAGTTTGCCCATTCATCTTACCCTCTTGCTTTGGAAAATCAAGGAATGAGTAGCAACTCTCACCTTGTTCAATATATGTCTGACTCAAATATTGCGGACATGGTCCCCAAGGTTTCCTCCTATGGAAGTGGGAGCTTCTCAGAAATGGTTGACTCCATTGGCCAACCTGGGTCTGGTGATATAGCTAACAAAGGGTATCAGCCAAATTATAATCCGAACAATGAAATGGGAATCGAAAGGGGTCCAAAAAATAATGAGCAATCACAGGGTGAAGGTTCAACACCTGAAGAGGGAGAAACAGGACCCACACCTAGTGAAAATAGAAGAAAGCGTGGACTTCACTATAATTCTACTTTCAGCCCAAATAAGGTAAGTCCAGTGTATTTTATCAATCTTAGTTATGACGTACAGTATTTCATTGACTAGTTTATTTGATTGGGGAAGCTAATGAATGAAATGCTTTTGATAACCTTTGATTAGAATGCTGAGGAGGATGGAATTAAAGATTCTTCTGGGAAGAGCTCTTGTGGTGTGAAAGAGCAATATGAAAAGAAATCAAAAATTGAACAAAATGCTAGTGCAGATTTACGTGGTGAGCAATTGCTGAAGCAAAAGAAAGATAGCTCTCAGAGCGGAGAAGCTCCCAAAGAAAATTTCATTCATGTTAGAGCCCGAAGAGGTCAAGCTACAAACAGTCACAGCCTTGCAGAAAGGGTAACTTCATCTTAATTCAAATGTTTGTTACAAGAAACCCATTTCTCATTGTTAATTTAGAAGCTATAACACTTTTTGTTTTGAAGGTAAGGAGAGAAAAGATTAGTGAGCGAATGAGGTTGCTTCAAGAACTTGTTCCAGGATGTGACAAGGTTATCTGAGATGATTGTGTTTGTCTTATGATTTCTCATCAAACCATACTGATTTTTTTCTGGTTCATTGTCTTCTGCTAGATAATGGGCAAAGCAGTAATGCTTGATGAGATTATAAATTATGTGCAGTCACTGCAACAGCAGGTTGAGGTATGCTATTATGCATGTAGTCTTACAAATAGTAACTTTTTGGTATGAAACCGTCACATCTGGAAACTACTTTGAGCCCCAAATTATCTATAGCAGAGCCGGGTGGACCACTTAAGGAGCTAAGCTCTCCTAGCACTCATTTTTTCTATTCATAAGGCTCAAACCCAAGACTTTACTTAAGGATAATCGAACCCCTTGACATTCAAACCAATAGGGTTGTACCTTTTCTATATTGTTGTGAACTACATTGAATATTCTGTCTATCATTCTAACTTGAACGTCGATCTGATTTTCCCTGTGCACATCTCTGCAAAATAATATAAAAGGATCATTTAACCATCTCACTGCATAATGCATATGATGAGGGATGCTACTAATGAAGGGGCAAATTATAAATTTCACCTGTGATCTGACCCAATTTCATTTTTGTTACACAATTTTGTTTAAAAGGCGGCACAATATATATATCCCTATGGTTTGCTCATTAGCATATAAACTCCTGTGTATTTTTCTGTCCATGTATAGCATGCTTGAAACTGATAAATACAGAGAGTTATCTTGCTGTATATAGGCTTCATGTTCGGGGGGCATAACATAATATTAATATACCACATGGTGGGGAAATGAAGTTAATGAGGATAAACCGTACTTTATCCTCATTTTTATGATTTTATGATGTGGATAACACAGTTTTAAAAGGCAACTCCAGTATCATGGTTATTTTGACTACTCAAACTTACGTAGATCTATTTTTGCAGTTTCTGTCCATGAAACTTGCCACCGTGAACCCAGAACTGAATTTTGACGTAGAGCGGATTCTCGTCAAAGATGTAAGGGAAGGTCTAGGCAGTTTAATCTTTTTGAAGTTCGCTGAGTACTTATAGAACAAAGTTAATATTTAACTTCATTTGTTTCTGTAATTAGATTCTCCAGCCACGCATTGGACATGGACCTATTGGTATCAGCTGCTCTCACTCATTCCCCTCTAGAAATTTCCTGGGAACACTAGCAGGCATGCCCAGCACATCAACACAATTCCCTCCTTTGCCACTGGTAAAGAGTGAACATCTTTCAACACGCTATGCTTACTCATATCTCTCTTGTATGTGAGACTTTGAAAATAATTATACCTGTCTATCCAGCAGCCTGTTTTGGACCACGACTTCCCAAGCCTCTATGGAATGAGCTATGATTCAAGTACAGGTCTTGACAATATGGACCTAATGGTAATACTAGTAGGCAGAAACTTCTTTGTGATTTTTGTGCTTTCTTCTAATTCATTGTCATGTTGAACAGGATGGTTGAAAACAGAATTATAGTGTGTGGGATATATGGCCTTGTTTCTTTGAACGGAGACTTTGGAAATACTATCCAGTTGACTGCACAAATTAATTGAAGTTGGAACTTGGAAGGAGGGAGAATAAAAAGGATTTAGTTAGTGGTATAGGATATTAATACTTAACTGTTCGCTCTTCGAAGAAGATGACTCGTTAAATATATGTTCTATGTATATTAAGTTGAGGGAACGAAATCAGGCTCTGATTGGCGAGGTTGATTGTTTTCAACTTGTGTTTCATGTTAGAGAAATGTGGGAACTTTTCTAAGGGTATCTGGTTCTCCTCCTCTTCTTGTTCTTTTTCCATGTAATGAAAGAAACGCTTCTTGATGCATAGAGGAGTGAAATTGGTGCAAAATGTATGAGGATGAGACGAGTGGCATCAGTGCTAGAAGAATGCCCTCATCCTATTGAGAAAATCTTATATACTCACATCACATGGGAGTATTTGGAGAGATTTTCATGTAATTTAGGACTTAGGAGTATTACACCAATCCATTAAAAGCATAACATGTAGCACAACACAGTTATACATTTCATTGAATTAAAAAATTAAAAAATTATATTTAAACAGTTGTTAAATTATTACTATGAGAATGAATAAGTATTTTCTCAATGATCCAGCCAGATCTAGTATGGATTTTATATTTTAATAATTTGAATTTTAAACAAGCGCCATGTATAATTACTCTTTTTACGCATTCCAATTTTAGTGGAATAATGCAGTAGTCTTTAGATTACGAAGGATTTTCTGGATTGGCTTTTTGCGTTCAGCAGAATTCAACATTAAATCTTGGTCCTTTTAGTACTTGTCGCGTCAATTTTATTCCTCTATTCCTACCTGGGCGCATTGAAACTTCAATTTTTGCCAAAGCTTACACCCGGTTCTCACAAGCCAGAAGCAAACTTTTGGATTTGTAGCCCGTGGGCAAGTGCGTCCCGATTCACAAGGATCATTAGATCAATGATATTAAAGATAGAACGGCCGGCTTTACCAAAAAAAAAAGGAGAAAATAAAATAAAAAAACAACCATATACCCATTTAAAAAAGTCCCAAAGCATAATTTGGATTGGACAGAAACTTTTTCTTTTTTTCTCTTTTTTTTTTAACTTTTACGAAGGTTATGTTTTTAGGATTTCAAATGAAAACCAAACATACCATTAATCGGTTAAATCATGAATGATCCTGTTCTTCTATTAAATATTTGTAATTAAATTTATAACATATATTATATAATATATTCTATCTTATTTTATTTTAAAATTGGCAACCCTATCAGGTTAGATTTATGCATTAACGAGATAACTCGTATTTATATGAGTTTTCTCAAAGCAAATTCGGCCAACCTGCTTTGTGGGCTGAATGGGCCACTCATTAGTTCAAGATTTAATACTTCTTCACAGCGCAATCAATTGTTTGGAGTAGGGGGTGTAAATAAACTAGATTAGGTTAGACTTTGCTTTAAATATGCCAGATCTATGTGAAAAACCTTAAGCCTGACTTATTAGCCTCTGTAGGCCCAAATTAAAAGTATAGTCTGACTTATATTTAAAAAGTAAAAGTCTTGACCTAAGCCTGTTAGCCTGTTTAAGCTTATTAAACATTCAATAATTAAAAAAATAACTAAAATAATATTACTTTATTACTCAAAATTATTAAAATAATAATTTTATTTAAATAAATAATATGATATAGGTCAGACATATACAAAAAAAAACCTATGACCTGTTTTCTACATAGGTTTTTTTAAAAGCCTAGGCGTGTTCTATTCTACTATTTGTAATAGACCAAGTCTGACATAATATAGGCTAGGTCATAGGTCCCTGTAGGCCGGTCTAGTCCATTTACACTCCTAGTTTGGAGCAATAGTCTTTATTCTTAAAAAGTTTTAATCTAGAATGTCTAATATGAATACAAATTACATTAAGCCTAGACAAAAATAATTTTCCAATATTATTATTATGGGGTAGGATCAACTCACATCAGTGTAAGAATAATAAATCTTATATAAAAAGCCTCAGACTTGAGCTCAGCTCAGCCAAGAGCTTCAAGTTTAACAGCTCGGCCTCAGCCTTGAGCTTCAACTCAGCCCATCTAAGGGCTTCAAGTTTATTAGCTCGGCCTCAACCTTGAGCCCAGCCTAGCCAAGTGCTTCAAGTTTAACAACTCGGCCTCAGCCTAGAGCTTTAATTCAGCCTAGCTAAGAGCTTCAAATTTATTAGCTCGACCTCAGCCCATCAAAGGGCTTCAAGTTTATTAGCTCGGCCTTAGCCTTGAGCTCCGCCCAGCCAAGAACTTAGAGATTAAAGCTCACCTTCGGCCTTGAGCTCCAACTCTGATCATACCAGATTCCATTAACTTGAATTGGATCTGCTCCTATGAGTATATTGCAATCATTAGTTTCATGTTCTCCTTGACAATATTCACATGAGATTGATTTAACTTGAGTTGTAGATGGCTGAAGCTTATAAAATTTGTTGTTCAAAAAAACAATCTTTGGTAAGAGGAGCTTCTGTTCAGCTAGCATGGCATCATTACCATCTAATTGAAGGACTCATCTCTTCGATTGAGCTGTTATACTCTCATTCTCCATTCTTGCCATAGACTCTATCAATTCCAGAGTATGAGTAAGTGTCTTTTGCCTGATAGAACCTCCAGCTACACCATTGACAACCATTCTTGAAGATGGAGTCATCCCGTTGAAGAAAATTTGAAATTTTTCTTTGGGTCGCAACTCGTACTGAGGACACTTTCTCATAAGCTCTTTGAATTGTTTCCAGGATGCACACAGAGTTTCTCCATCAGATTGAATGAAATTAGTGATTTCATTCACCAGCCAGTTGTATTTTGTCATTGGTTAGAACTGAGCTAAGAATTTTGCAGCCAGATCTTCCCAAGTGTTGATGCTATTTGCTGGTTGCTGCTCTAACCATCTGAGTGCTTCATTTGTTACAGTAAAGGGAAACAACCGTAGTTGCAATGCATCCTCTGATACTCTGTTGTTCTTGACAGTGTCACAAGTCATAAGAAATCTGTCAAGAAACTCATGAGGATCTTTTGTGTCCTCTCCTGCGAATTGAGATCGCTCAATCAATGTGACTAACGCCGACTTGATTTCAAAGTTGTTAGCCGCGATCATTGTTGTCAAAAACTAGTGTAAAAAACGTACGTTTTTACGTTTTTACTAGAGTGGTGTGTGTTAAAACACAAGTAAAATTGGTCTTTGGTAAAAGCGCCGCATAAAAACATAAAAACTTACGCTTTGACCGTTTTTACTTAAAACAAAATTTAAAAAAAAAAATTTACAAAAAAAGAAATTAAAAAAAACCCAATTTTTGTTTTCCCCAAATCATATGCACAATATCTTGATATCTTTTTGTTTGGATATGTGTCGTTTATAATTATGTCTTATAAAGCTGCAATTTTAATATAAGTTATGCTATGAGAATCGTTTTGTGTTTTTGGATCATTGTGTGCATTGAAAGAAGTGGATTTATATCCTGATGAGCGATGATCCAAAATCTACAGAGTGTATGAAGCAGTTAGAGCAGATTGGTTATCCATTACTTGATAGTTATCACTATTTATAATTTTGATACTTGGTTATCAAAAATAATTTTCCTTTTTAGATAGATAAGTGGCTCAACATACATGCTTATTATGTGATATTTTTTCACATGCATATATAAAATTTTGTATCTTGTCTTTAAGTAGTAGAAAGTAAAAACTTTACGTTTCGTGTCGTTTCAACGTTTTACGTTTCTACCACCCATTTCTGTTTATACGTAGAAACTCGAGTTTGACAACATTGGCCGCAATCGTTGGTCTTACGATACTCGAGTTTGGTCTTGTAAAACTAGGAGTGAGGATCGACTCCATCAACTCCTTTTCATGATGCGGCTGATTATTTTCAGTCATCTCGGGTTCTGCTCTTGGCTATGAACTCGAGGATTCCTCTTACTTCCTTTGCTTGGTGAGTTTTCTCTATTTCTGGATCAAACTGTAGAGATTCACGATCTACTTTACCTCGCATAAAATAAGAGAAATCAAATTAGTAAAAAAAATAAAAAATAAAAAAATAATCCAATTTGAGATAAAAGAAAAATCGAGGCAGCATATGATGTTGGGCTCCTATTCAAGATTTTGGCAACAAAGCCAAATGACAAAGTTTGCGGCCCAATAGGCCAGCCTCAAAATTAAAACCCACCGGAAATGAAGCGGGGTTCAAAATAAGAAAACCACAACATAAGAAGACGAGTTCATATAAAAATGCCACCGCTAATGAAGCGTTGCTCAAAGTAAAAAGCCACGGCAGAAGAAGCCAAGCTTCAATTCAAAGAGGCGAAGTCTGCCTCCATAAATATAAGACTTCGGCAAAAGAAGCCAAGTCTCAATGGAAAGCCACAATATGCGAAGCCGGGCTCAAACAAAATATGATGAAAGTTAATGCCAGAAATATAAAGCGACTATGGCCAAGTCACAAATAGAAAACCCACAGTATGATAAGCATAGCTCAAGAAGGTGAATACAACCTTCGCAAACAAGACTGGAAAAAAGTCCAGTCCAATAGTAAAGCCATTGTACGTTAAGCCGGGCTAAAATCAGAAAGGCAAAGATATTGCCTTCAAAAGCGTAGACAAGGCAAAAGCCAAGTCAATTTAAAGAAAGTCACGGTATGTGAAGCTGGGATCAAAATGAAGAAGGCATAAAACCATCCTAGTGACTTAAGACTGTGGCAACAAAGCCAGGTCGATAAAAGAAAGACTCGACATACAATGTCGGGCTCCTATTCAAGATTTTGGCAACGAAGTCAAGTGACAAGGCTCGCGACCTAATAGGCCGAGCTCAAATAAAAAATAAACTGCGAATGAAGCGGGGCTCAAAGTAAAAAGCCACGACGAACTAAGTCGGGCTCAGATGAAAAAGTCATCACCAAATAAGTGAGGCTTAGATAAAAAAGCCCATGACAAACGTCGCCGAGCTCAAAGCCAAGGAGGCGAACATCGCCTTCGCAAGCTTAAGATTATGACAAAATAAGTCAAATACAAGAGCAACTGCAAACAATACTGCTTCTGTAAAGAAGCCAAGTCAAGATAAACAGTCTCGGCAAGAGAAGCCGAGCTCAAAATTAAAGAAGCAAACACCACCTCGCCAAACTCAAGTCTTCAGGCGAAGGAAGCTATTCCAAAATCAAAGTCACCACAATAAAGTTGGGCTAATTTTGGCGCGAAAGAACCCAACTCCGTAAACATGATAGAAGTTGAAATTGAAACGGCCACGTCAAAGAAGACAAAGGCTGGGAAAAACTCAACAATGTAATTTACAACACAAAAAAGGACAGAAGCCCCCACAAAAGAAATGCATGCGAAGCGACTCAAGAAC